TGCTTAATCTGGACATGATCGGTCGGTAGTGAGGGGTTGGCCGGCTCTGGTTGAAGTTCAGCAATGGACTGACTTAATTGAAGCATCATATCTTGTAGAACTTCTGCATACGGTTTGCCAGATTGTTTTGCTACAGTTTTAAGTTCAGACAAATATGACTGAGTCTTCGAACCACAAAGCTTGGATGCATAAATGTCAGATAAACTTTCAATGTAGAATTTGTTGCCTGTGTCGGATGTGTAAGTATAAGGTAATGGAGGTAGTTTTCTTAACGCAGCACCAGACACGAAATTCAAAAACTGTACGCTCATAAAACTCGGATTCAATTTCACCTATGGGTATCTTACGATTGATTTCCCCATACTGGCTTAAAAATTCTGTGACATCATTACACAACGATGGATCAGTAGCCCCGTCTACTAGAACTGCATTTGGAATGTTAACCCCAAGCGTTTCAAAAACCTCCATAACTGAACTGGTAAGAGTACAACAATTTACTATACCACTGCCCTCCTGGCTAGCTCGCCAAATTATGTAACAAGTGTTTGCTTATTACTTAGGTAATAAAAGTGTAACGAATATGAAATGATTGTAACTGTAATAACCATGTAGTAACTGTGTTATGATCATGTAATAACTGTTATGACTATTATGTGTAATTAGCAAAGTTGAATGATCAGAAGATTCTAAGTAAGGCTACTGGAGGCAGGGGCAGTAAATTGAGACATGGGATTAGTGGAAAATGAATAAAGTGTATTATACAGGAAGTAAGTGAGACAACAAAATATACAACAGCTGCAGCAACAAAAATCAAACAACTCAGTTAAATGTCCTTGTGAACTGGGTCTGGTTGCCCAGGGTGTAAACAGAGTCCAAACTACTTCAAAGTCCAGTATGAATTATTTTGAGGTTGTATGATGTCCATAAAGCGCGGTTGATTGAATAGTTTCGTAGTGGAGGCAGCTGGAGTAGGTGGGAGACAGACGACAGGCGGTTAGCCTCCTACCAGACCGGAGCTCTCAAAAGGACAGTTCCTCACTCGCCATCAATTTGAACCCAAGTTTGGGCACCTGGCCTGTGTGCACATTAACAAAAGGCCTCTTAGAACATATTTTCAGTTAGCGTTAGCATTGACATTAACATTACAAGAGTTCATAAGTGAATCAGTCACAAGATACAACTAATCATGTGGAGCACATGTTAGCATTAGCATGCTAGCTGTTTAGCATGCTAATGCTAAGCTAACATGGACATATGATACATAGAGCAAGACATAGGGCATATGACAAAATGGCTAACCTTAGCATTAGCATGCTAGCTCTAGCATTAGCACTAGCAGACAAAGCCACAAGAACAAAAGCCATTAAATAAATCAATAAACAGGGTTCACTTCTAACTTACCAGTTCAGCAGTGTTTTAGTGTATTGAAAGCACACGTGACAATGTTGCATACCGGGTCTGGTTCTAAAAGACGTGAATGGTGAAGTTAAAAAAATGGGAACATGAGAATTTGAAATGAAACAGTGTAGATGTACTGACCTTCAAGCTCTGTCCCCTGGCTCCTCTCCCACACAACTGAGGAGAGAGAAGTCAGGACCTTATATACTCTGACTGGGGATGTGTGATTGGATAATTGGTGAAATGGGCGGTGTGATGGGTGGTGACAAATCATGGTGGAGAGGGGAAAACCTGGATTGGATCTGGATAAGGGAATTGAACTTTACCCTGGTTACATGTTGCACATCAGTCCCATCAGTTGGAGATGTTCCATCTTAAAGCAGAAGTGGGTGAATGTGCACGGGGAGGTCAACACAGAGAGCAAAAGTCTGAACATGGACTCAGTGGAATGTTCCACAGTGACACTTTAGCAGAACAAAGACAGAGTGTTGGATGGTTTGATGGGGAGGGGCCCTGCAGAGTCTCGGTGCAGCAGCAGCTCTGGGGACGCCTCTTTCCTCATGTGTCCATGTTGTTCTGGACGAGTCGCCCCAACAAACTGAGGCCAAAGGTCAAAGGTCACAACATTTCATCTGTTTGTTTTACTGGAAGAAAACTGGAGATGAGCAGCTGGAGGTGGAACCAACCAAATATTAGATCAAACTTTCAATTTTAACTCCTTAAATTATAGTTTTGACACCAAAAGCCTCAAATGATGCATGAAAAAAATGAAACCAAGAGTTTTTTTCTTGATCTTTCAAGTCATTTGACTTTGTTTGTGTTTGGATTCTCAGAGTCTGTGGCTCCTCGAGAAAACACCCAGATCATTTGAACCTCAAATCTGTGTCTCTGTCCTTCAGTCTGGACTCATGTGGACAAATGTGTTTCTACTGAGAGAATCTTGTCATGGAA